GCAAACCTGCACAGAGCACTCACATAACAGCAATAAAAAGGTTTGTATAATTTGTTTTAGATGTCGGATGAGTGTCAGAATAGAAATTCAAAAAATGATAAAAGAATCTAATAGAATTTAAAGGTTTAAAATAAAATACATGTTTTCCTTTTTGTAAAAAGAACTGTGTCAGAGTTGTAATTATATAAGGATTGCTTACATCATATTTTAAGGAAAGTGCCCTACAAGCTGAACAGGAAGTAAGCAGCCTTCAGAAGGAGCCAGTGAAGTGTGAGAATGTAGTTGGCTGGACCAAGGAAATGAAGATGGTCTGTAATGCTATTGCGCCCAGCAGATGGAAGGGAAACGTCTAAAACGTTTAATTAAGGTGAGGCATAGGAAATGGCTTATCAACACCTTCATAGTGAATCATTTCCACACCCATGCACTGGCAGGAACAGGAACAAGTATGAACTGAACAACACAATCTAAACGATCCTTCTGACATTCACAGAATGAAAGACTGTTTGAAGGGATGCATTTCTAACCCGCTGGAAGAAAACTGCAAAAGCAAGAGTGGACGAAAGTCGAGGGACATGCCAGCTCAACAGGGTTGAAAAGGGAAACTGCTGAACTGGCAGCAGCACTGGAAACACTGAACACAAGTGCATAAACTTGTTCCCTATCCCATAGTCCCTTCCTCTCTCCCCATGCGACTCCGTCTTCACCTACTTGGCAGGCAGCGTCACCTCACTGTATCTGAGGTCTAGAAATGAATAAACTTCCATCATGAATCTTGGGATCTTCGGGTGTCCAGGCCAGCAACTGTGAGCAGTGGACAGGATGGGAACTGCTGGGTAGAGGTTCTTTGGTAATCTCAGAGCAGTGGGATAAGGGGCAGAACAAGCTTGTGGATGGGCCTTTGGCACTGAGGGCAGGCCACGGTTGACCCTGAGATGGATCACAGAGAGAATGACATTTAACATGATCATTAGGAGAAGAAATTGCAAGTCTAGTGATGGTCAGGGCCACCAAGGTTATTGCCGAGGAGGACTGCTATTTTAGAGACTCCAGGGAAGAGAGTGCACACACAGAAGCTAGAGCTTTGAAAGCGTGAAGCATGTTTGGAGAGTGGATGCCATTTCCTCATCAGAGTGCTCTGACTTACTGTAGGTAGTGTGTCTCATTTATCTATTTATTTATTGGCAAACTTCAGGCATGACCTGGATTGCAAGAACAATCAGTTTCCACTGTGATTTGGTTTAAAATTCCAATTTAGCCCAATTTTGGGGAGCTGAAGAGATGACTGAAGATTACCAGTAGCACAGGTTGATGGGAACCCAGGAGTTGCACAATGAAGCTGCTTACAGCATTGCTGTATTTCCTTTCCACAATGGCTCCATGGGCTAGATATTATTACTGTTTGCTAGATATTATTACTGTTCCCTGTTCAATTGCAAAATGTGGAGACCCAGAGAGGTTGAGCATCTTGTCTAGAGTTACAGCAGTGAGCTGTGGACCCTGGTTCTCACCCAGACAATCTGACTCAAGGATCAGTGCCCAGTCAATGGGCTATCCTGTCTCAAGTTGTGAAAACACAGTCAAGACCATGGGGTGGGGTGGGGAGGGGGCTGGGGAGGGCATGCTTTGAGCACCCCTCTCATCTGGAAGTTTTCCCTCCTTATTGGAGCATAATGGTGAGGATGTCACATACCCTGTAAGCAGGCGGCCTGGAAATGCATCACCTCAATCTCCTGCAAGGAAGCACGCCCAGCTGTGAGCACAAAGAATAACCTCAGCAATGAAGTCACCTTGGTCAAGGTCATGCCATTTTCCAGGATGTACCCCAGTCCATGGCTGATTCAGGAGAGGATCTAGCCATTTAGACCCAGTCATTCTGCTGGGCCATACTAGCTCCTGAACCTCCAGTGTGGTTGGTGGAGGCCATTGGAAACACACTGCTGCTCAGTGTCTCCTTTCCCATCTGCTTCCTGCCCTTCTGGTCACAAGTGTCATCCTGTGGGCATGCCTAATGAACTTCCTGACACTCTGTCTCAGAGCATGCATTCCTGGGAACTAACTACCAACTTCCCAGATCAGGGAGGCTCATAGCTCCTCTCACAACAGTTCCCTTCAACTTTTCATGTTCCAGATAAATATGGAAAAGAAAAAGTCCGGGGCTGGAGACATAGCTCAGAAATTAACAGAATTTACTGCTTTTTCAGAGGACCTGGGTTCAGTTCCTAGCACCTATATGGCAGCTAACACCCATCCTTAACTTCAGTTCCAGGGGATCCAATGCCCTGTTCTGGCCACACCAGGAACACATGTTGCGGTGGTTTGAATGAGAAAATCCTCTATAGGCTCCAAGTATTTGGACATTTTCTCCCCAGCTGGTGGTGCTGTTTTGGAAGATTTCAGGGGTGTGGCCTTGCTGGAGGAAGCACATCATTGCCTGCCAACTTTGAGAGTTTTTAAGCTTTAACAGATTTCCAGTCTATCTCTGCTTCCTGTGCCTGCTTGAAGATGTGATTGCTCAGTTTTCTGCTCCAGCCACTTCTGCTACCATGCCTCCCCTGCCTTTATGGACCCTTACCCTTGGAACCATGGCTCAAATAAACTCTTCCTTCTATAAGCTGCCTTGGTCATGGTGTTTTATCATAGCAAAAGAAAAGCAACAAATACACTTGTGGTGCTTTTACATACATGCAAGCAAAGCACTCATACATACAAAATTTAATAAATAAAATCTTAAAATATTTTTTAAGTCTAGAAACTCTTAAAAGTAGTCTATGAAATAAATCCAACCACCCTTTTATCAAGTTCACATGAAAATCGAGCAGACAACACAGATCCTTTGTGTTGCCCCAGGTCTTCCTCTGTCTCAACATCTATTTCCCTTGGTTTGGAAACAGTTACAGATGGTGGAAGAGCTTTTTATGATAAAAACTTCCATTAAAATAGTTTATATGAATTTCTGATGGCTAGTTTTAGCCAAGGAGTAGTTGGCAGACTTAATTCTATTATACTCTTGCACCGTAGCCTTGTAGAAGCTATTTGAGTTCAGTGTCCCATCTCTAAAATTGGAATAATAACTTTTGGGAGGATTTAATAATATAATTCCAAGCAAAGCACTTCCTGCTTAATAAGGATTCAAAAAAGAAGCATCGTGTATAAAATTGGCACAACCCAGGATGCACAAATTGATGGATCAAAACAGCAAATTTATTCCTACACTGATAGAAGGCAGATGTCTTGATCATGGTTTCACTGTGATCTAGGGAGAATTTTTTCTTGACTCTCCAGTTTCTGGAGGCTGGTGGCTTCCTTGACTTTTGGTGGTATCAGTTTAATCTCTTCCTCCCTGGTCATACCCTCCCACATCTGTGTGTTAAATCCCATTGCCTTCCCCTTAAGAGGATACATATGATTGTAGTTAGGACTCATCCTGACAACTCAAAAAAAATCTCTTCAAATCGAGACCCTTAACCATGCCTGCAAAGATATCATTTCAATGGTAATGCTTACAGGTTCCATGATTAGAATCTGATGTGTTGGGGGTGAGGGGTGGGATATTTGTCAGGGTGATCCAGTTGCTGCCTCTCTTTTTAAGCTCTAAACATCTCACTTTGGCCTTTCTCCTTTCCAGTTATTAAAATAGTCCTTTCTCCCTTCCAGTTATTAAAAATCATCTGTCTCTCTCCTGAAAGGGACTGAGGCTGGGGTGGCAGTTCGGTTCAGATTCTGTAACGTCTCAGCAGTAGGTTGAGTTGTTCTTTGGAGGCATCTTTCCAAGGTTTTAATTAATTGTAGATACGTTCTAGAAGTGTTTCCCAAATTACACCCTGCAGACACCTCTGACTCAGTCGATGGAGCTTTGTTGGGGAATCCAAGATTTTCAGTACCTCAAGGGAGTTTATCAGTGCAAATCTGGAAACACTGATTCATTCCTACCACACAGTCCTGAACTCAAACCTTGGAAACAGGGTAGTCCCCTTCCTGCCTGCTAGTGTGTCATAGTTGCAGGACTGAACTTTTACTGGAAGGGTGGGGCCAAAAAAAAAAAAAGCAACTCTGAAAAACGAACAAGCTTCTCTGTACAGTATTCACTGAAACACTTCCCCAGAAGGAACACTTCCAATTTCGAATTAAGTGGAAGATGACGACTGTCCGGATTTGGCAATCTTGCAGCTGTCATTAGCTCCGGACCTCGTGGGTCTGACGGATCAAGCCCGGTCGTGCCCTCAGCGCAGCCAAGGCTTTTCCACGCTGCAAAAAGCAGCTTCCGCGAGAGGACCGGGTGGTAGCGGCGTTACTCAAGTCACCATGCAACTGTATTTTGGCATAGGATTTGGCCAAGGAGTGGCTTTCAGGGTCGCCTCTCCGCCCCCTGCAAGCTGCAACCACTCCAGAGTGGAGCGGGCAGGAGGCGTGGCGAGACCTAGATATATTTATTCTGTCCCAAGAGCGGGATGTTGGGGCTGCTCCAAGCTCCCAAAGACAGTCAAGCAAGCGCTCGCAGCCTCGGTGGAGAGGGCTAAGAACCCAGAGCCGGCGGCTGGCCAGGTGAGGGCGGCCTTGGTGCAGGGGGCGTTCGGGGAACGCCTAGGGGATGATGCGGCCCCGGGTCAGCCTCATTCCGGAGCCCTGAAAAAGCACGTCCAGCTAGATTATGGGATGATGAGAAAAGAGGATCAGGCTCAACAGGACGTGATGGGGGCCCAGCAGCGTGGTCAGACGGCGGGAGGTGACGGGTGCATAGCTGGGAGTGACCCGGCCGCAGGCCAGGTGGCAAAGAGCGGCCTGAGGCTCAGCAAGGGTGATGAGCGCGGCTCAGGTTGGGCCGCTCTTCTCCCTCACTCCGGGATAGGGGTCCACAGCTGCAGTCCGCGATGGGGCGCTGAGTCCTCGGCATTGGCTCGAGGTGGGAGGAGCCTCCGCAGGCCCCGACCCCGACCGCAGGCTCCGCCTCTGCGCCCGCCTCCCTCGGCCCCCGCAGCCCGCCCAATCCGGAGCGGTCGGCCCAGCAGAGCCCGGCGCTTGTCTGGCTGGCGGAGGCTGAGCGCGACCTTAGCGAGCCGCGGCGCCCGCCGACCAGGGACAAGCGCCACTCCGGGTCGCGCCTGCCTCTATTGTCTCGGAGCTGCTCGGGCTCGGGCGCCGGGGCGGCGGTTCCTTTCCTTTTCCTCCTGGGGAGACGATCGGAGAACCGGCGGCTGCTCGGGAGCGCTGGCCGAGGCCCCTCGTCTGGGGCCCGGGGCTGGAGGCGGCGGCCGAGGGCAAAGCGCGTCTGTGCGGGTGGCGGCGGCTGCCTCTTCCCGGGCGGAGGCTGCTGCTGCCCCGGCTTCACAGCGCGGCGCCCGGCTCCCTGGCCATGGAGAGGCGGTCCGGACGCCGGGACTCCGGGAGCTCCGCTCGGGCTGCTCGGGCCACTCCGTAGACACCTGAGCTGACCTACGCCTGGCGGGGGAGGGGAAGGTAAGGCTCCGCGGGTCGCCGTCCCAGGAGCCGCCGCGAGGGCGCGGACCGGGGCTCGCGCACCTGGGCGGTTCCTGGAGGCCTGGCCAGCCGGGCGCTGGCTTTTCTGCGGAGAAGGACGACATCCTGTGGGTCCCCAGACCGGCCGCCCTCCCCCGCGACGCTCCTTGGGAGTCAGCCCTCTCTGAGCAAAACGGTCCCTGGGGACCGGGGCTGATCCCTTTCTCTCCGTCTTTACGTTCCCGGGGAGGGGAACAATGGACCTTTTAAAAGTCGGCGTGAACAGCCTTAAACTTTCTGGAGAGGGCTGCGTGGGGGACGCGGACCGTGGAGAAGGGTTGATGGAATGTGCGTTGTGGAGCCTTGGCGTCCGGGAGCGCGAGGTTGTGCAAAGTTTGGAGGGGATCTTTGTCTCCTTACTTTCCCCTGGGTTAGTGTTCCCCCACCCTCCACCTTGCTTTCTGTTCGGTAAGGTTAGGCATAGCTTTAGAATCCCGGCAGCTTTAAAGCTGGGGAATAGCGTCAGCCCAGACCCACTCCCAGCCTTTCGCAGAGTTGGAGGTCCCGGCAAAGGATCGGGCTCTCTGAGAGGACCCGAAGTGCTGCACTTAATGCTAGTTACTACTCTCCAGCAATAGAACCAAGGTCCTGAATTCCCTGGATGTCCTCTGCCTAGGGATGATGTGTGTCTCCAGACCTCTCTCTGTGGAGTGGAAACAGCTCACTTAAATCCTCCGCGTAAGGTTAGGAAAACCGATTTTGATCCATGTCTCATTTCATCATGTCTGGTAATTTTAGGAACTTTAATGGGCTCATGACCACTCACTGCCTTGAGCCCTCTCCCCTGTTCCAGTATGACAAAGTGGTGTCCTGCTGTGCAGTTGCACTTGTTGAAAGTTTGGAGATGTATTGGGAGTTATTGCCAGTAAAAAGTGAGCAGAATTTAAAGGGGAAGGAGGAAGGGAAGCTTCTTCTGAGCTGACGGAGGCCTGTTCCCGGGGCAACCAGGAATACCTGTTGGAAATGGCTGCTAAAAAATACACATAAGTTATATGTACCCTAAATTAAGGAAACTTGCTCTCTTCAGCACTGGTCTGGGCATCTTACCCTGGTTGTGTGCTTCATTATCTATTTAAAGGGTCTTTTGGGTTTGTATTTCTGGGCAAAGCATAATGTGCATTTTCTGGGCAAAGCATAACGTGCATTGGCCTGTCTTCTGTTTAGTAAACACAGGACAGCAGGTGATGGTGCTCTTTATCTTGTTAAAATAACTCTCCTTAGCTTTCTGTGTATGAGCCCTACAGAGTCAAAGGTCGGTGGTGGGTTGGAACTGGAAGTTTCTCATCTGGCTTTAAATTTTAGTTTATCAGGTACTGTTTTATCCGTTCTTTTGTCCTTACAGGCTCAGAAAACTAAGGTTAGAAGCGAATTCTGAGCCTTCACCTGTTGTCTGTCAGCCTGTGGATAAGAGGAAGCTGAGAGGTAGTGAGTGTGTGTGTTTGTGCGTGTTTGTGTGTACAAGGAATTAGAATCTATAAATTATTCCATGGTGCTTATATGGCATGTCTGTGTAATTGCAATAGCAATTCCATGGCTAATTGTTTGAGGAAAGTCTCCCTTCTTGGTCTAGCCTATAACCAGTGGATTCTTTAGAAGTACTAAAAATCATGGCAGGAAACCTGAGTGGGGCAGCCCTTCGGTCATATGCTAGAAGACCTAGTCAGGTCTGATCATAGCTACCTAGAAAATGGGAAGACTGTCACAGGGGCAAAGCAGGCTTGTGGGCCATTATGAAATCGAAAAGGTGCCACTGACTGGCTATGTGCCTCTGAGCAACTTTCTGAAGTTGATAAAGATGAACCACATTTTAGAAAGAGAAAACCATAGTCACTATTAAATTTACAGTTTGAGACTCATTTGCAATGCCATTATAAATATCTACATTGTAAAGTGCTCTGAAATGTTTATTAGTAACTCCCTGCCCATCTATCCACTTGCCATCCATCCACTAACCCAACACTAACCACCCACCACGTGCTGGCCATTCTGAAAGGAATCTCAGCACCTGCTTTGTGGTGCTTTCTGTTAGTGGGAGAGGAAGGTGGAGGAGTGGGTGCAGATGGGGACTCCAGGGACAGAAGCAAGTTAGCAATAGTAAGAACTTCTCTATGTGTAAATGATTGGGAGAACCACTATGTGAATGCTCCTTTAAGAGGACAGAGGAAGAACTTGCTGGGGTTGGGGCAGTAGAGCAGTTTCTAGAAAATAATTTGTTCAGTCAGACAAAACAGTAGGGATTGAAAGCTGGCATTGGAAGTACCATCTTTTCCTCCTTTTCTTCCTCCTCCTCTTCATCCTTCTTCCTCCTCCTCTTCCTCTTCCTCCTCTTCCTCCTCTTTTTTCTCTTCCTCCTCTTCCTCCTCCTCTTCATCCTTCTTCCTCCTCTTCCTCTTCCTCCTCTTCCTCATCTTCATCTTCCCCCTCCTCTTCCTCTTCCTTCTCCTCCTTCTTTTGAGAACAGTGTCTCACTATGTAGACACTGCTACAGCTGCCACAGTGCTGCTATCACAGGCCAGCACCACCGTACTCAGCAACAGTATCATTTTAAGATATAAAGACTGAAGAACCTGAAGTCAAACATGGGTTTGAAACAAGGCTTCGGCGATCTATCACAGTTTGCTAATGGACAAATCCTCTAATTTTCTTCACTTGTGAAATAGCTTTTAAAATGCTGTATGGAATATTCTGGTGATTCAATTCCATTAAATTTACCGTTAATATACAAATTAATATATAAGCTAGCCCTGTCATCATAAAATACGTTACACTGGCTGTAAAAAAAGCTATGAATAGATATAAATTATAGCTTACGCAGACTGGTCTCGGCTATAGGTTTGTTTCCATTTTATGGGCTCCTTCAGAATGGAAGCAAGTGTTTAGACTTCTGGCTAGCTGCTGTTTTGTGGTATTCCTTCCTTGTCCAGGCATCTGCTTCTCCCACTCACAGGAAGTCTTTTCACTTGGTTTGGCTTGTGAGCATTGATTAGAAGGATGGGCTGTCTGGCAACAGGGCATCAATTGAGAGGGACTTGTCTGGGTTTGCCTCCCAAGCCAAACTGCCTTTTACTTTCCCTTGTCCCAACAAGATGAATATGGGAATGGGGAGTGGAGGAGAGCTGTGTATCTGCATTTCTGAGACCGTGAAAATCACTCTTACTAGTTTTCTCCATTTGTAGAGAGGTGTAATTTTCAACTAGACTGTTAAAGGTGTTCAGTAACTGCAGCTGTTGTCTGGGTGAAACATGAAACTGTAAGCAATGCCCACTTTAGTTCTCCATTTGAAATGGACTTAAGCTCATCTGACAGTCTAGTAAATTGCCTTTGATAGAAATCCAAACTTGGATATTTAAAGCTATCAAGTTAAATGTGACATTTTCAGAGGGAGAGGGTGATTTGAGTATAAATCAGTATCTTTAGATGTTGCTGAAGATACCAAGTCCCAGCGTATAGTTCCAAGGGATCTTAAAAAAAATAGTAAGACAAGGAAGTGGAGACCCAGAGGCTAATTAGGTAAGGTCATGTAGCAAATGAATGTTGAGTGGGGACAAGAATCCCTTTGTCCCTGTTTTCAGACAGCGCTTTCCCCCTTTTCCTAGTTATTCTCTTTAATTTTGCCTTTGTTAGCAATTAGTTATTTTAACATTCAAATAATTTTCACTTGGGCTTAGAAAACCATTGTGCCAAAGTTTAAAAGGTAGACCTGTGTCTTTTCATCTCCTATATTTACTTCAGATATTGTGCATTTAGTGGGGTGATATTTGAAATAAATTTCTGTCAAATAAGGAACTCTGTAACAATATGTTGGCTTTACTTGCATTTTCTATAAAGAGGATGCAACTTTGAAATATTGTAGAAGTGCACATTTTTTTTTTTTTTTTTTTTTTTTTTTCCTGTAGGAGCAAGTTCCTGGAAACATTATTCAGACTTGTTTTGTGAACCAGAGGGTACAGACATACTAGGAATCGTTCCTGTGGTCTTTGGTTTTCCTCATGCTTGTTTTGGGATGCTTTTAATGTTGATTGTCCAGAACTATTCGGCAAAAATTTTATTACATTTCTAGCATAAGCACACAGCAATGAAAGATAAATGAGTCATAGGGTCTGTAGAAGAGTATCTCTTTAAGAAGTGAAACAGGGGGCTGGAGAGATGGCTTAGCGGTTAAGAACACTGGTTGTTCTTGCAGAAGACCTGGGTTCGAATTCCAGCACCCAGATGGCAGCTAATAACTGTCTGTAACTCAGTTCTAGGGGATCCGACAGCCTCTTCTGTATTCCGCAGGCACTGCACGACATGGGTGCACTTACCTACATGCAGATAATACACACATACACATAAAAATGATAATAAACAAAAAAGTGAAACAGACCAGGAAACTTTAATTACTATCTCCTCATAAATAAATTATTTGATCTATAAGACAAATCTATTCTGAAATTATTATTAGATTCCCTTTGCAAACAGATTTGTAATGAGACATTTTTTATTTTACATGGTGGAAAATGATAAACTTCTTATACATGTTATACAAGGGGAAGCTTCTTAGGGACAGTAAAGAAAAGTTCAGTTGTATTTAACGGGAACTTTTTTTTGAGGCAGGGTCTCATGTACGCCAGGCTGACCTTTAACTTGTTATGTGACCAAGGGTGGCCTTGAACTGACCACCTCCCCAGAGGATGAAAATTTTGTGTTCTATAAAGTTTTTTGAGGAGAGATTATGGTATTCTTAGCTTTAGTATATTAAAAGTGGCTATAGCATTGGGTGGAAGTGCTCTTGACATGGTTGCCTGAAATAATTGCACTTTAAGACAATTCATATAGAGCTACTGAGAAAGGAATTGTCCTTATTGACTCTGAGTTTGATGTAAGTATCTGAAAAAAATACTTCTGCACCATGAGCCAGATGTCTTGGACAATCTCTTAAGAGTGAACCGGTTACTGAT